AATACGTTGCCCCTCAGCCCCGAGGCACAGAAGCCGACCCTTGCACACCCCAGCTGCCTCAAGGATCGCATCATCTTCCACATCAGAATCGATGTCATCTTCTTGAGTCAAGCCTAGTTCCGCCCGCTTCTTTTCAACATTTGCGTTATACTTTGTCTACAAACATTTACAAAAATTATTCAAATGATATTTACTTCGATTTGAAATAATAATATTGATGTTACATACTTCGATTTCAGCAAGTCGGGGTGGTAGAATGGCTTCCGACTCATCACCGTTCTTCGTCCAACAGTGTTTGATGACCTTGAGGATAGAGACACTCTTCTTTTGAGGCCCCGCCTACAAGGTTCGAAAAAAAGGTTTAAATAAATGTAAAAAAATAAAGGGTTAAAATGGTGTAAGGTTTATTTGAATAAGACTTACAAGAGCTTCTTTATGTTTACTCTAAGGTTTGCGGCCTCCGTGCCATTGTGTCGTCAATGCCTTCTCAGACATCCGATTTTTCTTCCGAATTCGCTTCTAGCCAAGAAAGTCGGATCCGAAGACCAGTGGCGGACGAGGTTTTCGCATACCTCATCCGAACACCATTGAGGCCTTACACCACTGGCTCGGGCACGCTTAAAAGTAGGACGAAGCCAGTTTGAAACTCGGGCATTGTACACCCTTAAAATAGCGGGGCCTTGTTCTTCAGTGCAGCGAAACCGGGCCTTTATTAAAAAAATAAATTAACTTATCATTTGTCAAATTTTAGGTTACATCAATAACGAAAAATTCATTTTTTACCTTGAACAAGTTCCACCAAAGTTCACGGACCTTGGGGTCAACATCCGTGTACGTAGCCCAGTTGCCAAGAAAGTGTCCACCAATTATGATTTTGATTTGGTTGAGCACATCTTGATCGCTTCAAAAAATTAATGATATTTTTTTATATCCATTTGGTTAGATTATTTGACATTAGATAAAATTATGGCCTTTTTATTCCAATATTACTAAAATGAATGAAAAAGACAAAAATGTGACTTGTCTTAAATTTTTTCAAAAAAGTGGCTATAGTCTTTTTTTTTACTCCAGGGGGTCTGGGGGAGGGGACCTGGAATAATCAGGTCTAAACCCCAGTCCATTGAGTTTCAAACCCTTATGTGCCTAGCGGGTTTCAAACTCGAGACCTCTCACTAAGCATGATAACCTCACAAGTCACAACCAGCTGGACTGGAATAATTGGTTGTGACTAAAAGTCATGTATTCCTATTATTTAATCATACATTTATTATTTTAATAAGATTCCTTTGCAGCCACCAGCACCTCGGTGACCGCCGACCCCACCGCCGCCGTCGCCACCTCCACCTCCGCCACCTCCACCGCCGTCGTTGCTCCGGTAACAGTGACTCTGGTCACAGTGACTCCAGCCCACCGACCCCAGTGACTGCCCGTCCATCAGTCGTCGTCGTCACAGCCGCAATAGTGACTGCCCCACCGGCCAAAGTGACTTTGCTGTTACAGTGACTGCCCCATCGGCCACAGTGACACACCAACTCTGGCCACAGTGACACGCCATTGCCGGTGTCAACTGCCCCAACCCTCCCTCTCCCCTCGGCCTCGTCCCTAGCTTACCCCGCCCTAACACCACCGCCTACCATCACCGCAGACTGCCGCCCTACCACAGTCACCTCCCTAGTCCCCTCCTTAGTCCCAAACCACCTCCCCATCCCCAAAGCCCCCTCCCCATCCCCCATCCCGACCACGCCCCCCCCCCCCATCTCCCCAGCCCCATAGCCCTTCCAAGCAACAACGCACCCCAGCCCCACCCAACCACGCCGCACCACGGCCTCGCTTCAACAAAGCCGCAACACAGCCCCACTCCTACTCCGACCAACACAATCCAGCCCCCAATCCACACCTCTGCATCCTGGCCGCCCCCGTCATTCCAGATCCAGATCTGAATCACCTCTTAGATCCATCGATTACGTCAAAGTCCCTTCGACCAGCGTCTGGTCGTATCACATCGTCAATGGTGGTCCAGATATGACCATCGTCACCATCGTTCTCGGCCACAGAAAGGTGAATAAGAAGACAACAAACCTTGCAGTGGCGACAACGCAGCTTCAATACGACGAATACAGGGAGGCGATGGTAGGAGGTAGGCGATGCAGAGAGCGCTGTGCGTGACGATGTCATAGAGATGCGAAGAAAAAGCGAAGGGGTGATGAAGTGCGAAGGAACAAATGAAATGTGAAGGAGCCGTATCTGCTGGGTCACATTTTTGAAAAAAGTAAAACTTGTTTTATTTTTGGAAATTAAAAGCTCGGTAGTTACATTTGTGCCATTTTTTCTAAAATTATTTGACATTAGATAAAGTTCAAAGTTACTTACTTAGCAACCATGTGAGGTGTCACCCATTCCGAATCTTCATTGTTGCGCTCGGCTTGGGTTAAGGGCGCATAGTTCGGGCGAGCACGGGAGGTTGATTGTTCATTGCTCATCTAAAATAATTGATTAATGAGGAGTATTAATTTACATTTTCAAATAATAGTGTAAATATAATAGAAGATCAAATTTTGGTTGAAATCTTAAATAAGTTTTCGTATTTAAATTTATAAAAAACATTTTATATAAAAGCAGTTTTTTATAAACAGTTTTTTATAAACAGTTTTTTATAAACAGTTTTTTATAAACACTTTTTTATAAACAGTTTTTTATAAACAGTTGTATAAAAAATAGTTGTATACAAAACAGTTGTATAAAAAACATAAAACCAGTTTTGTGTAAAAACAATTTTTTGGTATAATGAATATTCTATATTTATGTCTAACTCAATATGTCATAATTAACATGTCCAATTTTTTTGGAAGTTTGACATGAGGGGTATTTTTTTTAATTAATTCAGAAGAACTTTTAAATTAAAACAGTTAAAACAATTTATTTATTAAACATTGTCTTTTTATAGTCTACATTTTATACTAAATTTAAGAACTGTTTTTATTGTCTAACTCAATATTTTATAATTATTAACATGTTAAACTTTTTTGGAAGTTTGACATGAGGGGGTATTTTTTTAATTACTTCGGGAAAACTTTTTAATTAAAACGGTTTATTTATTAAACAGTGTTTTTTCATAGTCTATATTTTATATTAAATTTGAGAAAACTGTTTTTAATGTCTAACTTAATATTTTATAATTAACATGTTAAACGTTTTTGGAGGTTTAACACGAGGGGGTATTTCTTTAATTAATTTGGCAATATAATGTAATTAGGCATACATATTAATTAAACTAACTCATGTTCTTTAATTCATAAGTCCGAAATTAAAAAAGATAATGTTTAATCATGCATGTTTAACCTACAATTAAATCTTATTTAGGCATACATATTAATTAAACTTATACACAACAAATATAGGCATGCCAATTAAACATATATACAAACTAAATCATGTTATATTGAGCATATAGAACATGTAATAAACTGAATATATTACCATGTATTTCGAAAAAACGTGTGCTTATAACATGTATTTCGAAAAAACGTGTGCTTATAATATTAATTAATAACATGTATACAAAAATGAATTTAATAACATGTACAGAAAACAAGTATTTCGAAAACTAAACTATATTAACATGTATTTCAATTCTAAAATTAAAGGAATATTATAAACTAAATGAAATTCTATTTCGAAATCATATTACTCCACATGCATCAATTTGAGATACTAACTAAAATCAAATTATAACATGCACTGCAATCACATTACATATACATAAATCAATTTGAGCATATTAACTAAATCATATTAAACAATTTGAGAATAATGGGAACACACTTATCGTAACATGCATTTTTGAAATAAAAATCAAATACTAAAAATAAGAATTAAAGGTAAATAAAATTTAGAATACATAACCTTTATGAAAAACGAAGGAGGCGGCCGACAGTGGAAGAAGACGGTGGCAGCGAACGGCGGCAGCGAACGGCGGCAGCGAACGGCGGCAGCGAACGGCGGCAGCAAACGGCGGCAGAAAACGGCGGAGGGCGGAGTTGGAGGTTGAGATCGGTGGAGTGTAGAAGAGTTAGGGAGAAATTAAAGATTTAGGGTTTTGGTCGGGTTGGAGAGTATGCGGAATGAAAAATCAGCTAAGTGTTGATTTTATATGTATGCGTAGTCACGGACATAGTCACGGATAGATCCGTGACTAGCCGTCGTAAATAACGAAGTCAGACGCGCGGCAGACGAGGTGTCAGGGCCGCCTTTGACCGCCTTAGTCACGGACGGTCCGTGACTAGGTCCGTGACTAATTCAAAATTTTTTGAATTAGTCACGGACCTAGTCACGGACCTGTCCGGTTTTTGAATTATTCACGGATCTAGTCACGGACCCGTCCGTGACTAAATACTTTCCATCCGTTCAGCCAACTCCTCGGGCAGGCCGGCGACAGGCGACAGTGGAATAAATTCCACTTTATTATATTCGATTTTTGAGTATAAATAGATGATGCCCGGTCCAATGTTTGTGAAAAAAATGGCTAATCGAGAACCAATTGACTGGGATTCGATGTGCAAAGCTATGAAACGACTCAAGCTAATTACACAGCTTATGGAGCCGAAAACCGTTGAAGCATACCAGAGAATCACGGAGTTGATGGCTAGACCCCTTGAAAGTTTTGGCGACTATAAAGATGAGGAATCCGACTCACTCGACAAGTCAAAAGCAAACAACTCGTGTCGGATGCTTCAACGTGCAGAAGAATGTTCGGAGTATATGGATCCGATCAACGAAGAAGCTGAAAGGAAAATTAACGAGTTGTTGGCTAGGCCTCTTGAAAGTTTTGATATTGATGAATAATTTTGTATTTGTTTGTTTGGTTATTATGATAAATGATTAATGTTTCGTTAGTTGATTGTGATAAAAAAATTGTGCGTTTCGTACTTATCTTTTAATAATGATGAAGAAAAAAATCAAATATTGTTAGACTACAATAATAATGAAGAAAAGAGCACAAATATTCGAACTCAAAAAAATTGTAATACAACAATACAATTAGTCACTATCAGAGTCATTATTTTCTACATATACAACATCTTCTTCTGTATCAGAACCGTCTATCCATTCTCCTTCTTCCTGATAATGAGCATTTTGTTGTTCTTCATGCATTTCAACAATTTCGCGCTCAGATGGAGTTGTTAGGTCCGGAAGGAGCGTTTCTGGCATGACTTCAGCATTTTGTTGGATCACTTAGCTAAATGTGCTGGTTGATCATCTCAACAATCGGTGGAGGTTGGAAAAAATGTTGCTGAAAAGCATCTAAATCAACGTCCTTGTGTTGAGTTTGTGATACAATTTTGCTCGGACGGACAGTACATACACATACCCAAGGATTCTGTGTCCGCCTGGTTGAAGGGTATTTAGTATAATAAATCTGGGCTGCTTGTTGAGCAAGTATAAAAGGCTCATTTTTCGTATACACGCGAGAGTGGTTGACGTCAATCATATTATACTTTGAATTTTTTCGCACACCACGTGTTGGATCGATCCATTTGCAGCGGAACAAAACGCATGTCAACTTTTTCCCAGCAGAAGGCATTTCCAGTTCGAGAATATCGTGCAAGACACCAAAAATTTGGTTTCCGAGTTATCATAACCGATTGTTGGGACACATAATCCGCTGTTCACTGTTGGTCGGCCCTATCCGTAACCGACTGTGTGATAGGTGTAACCGTTTATCACATATGACCGCCAAACTTTGGCGTAGGCACCAGGGCCCCACGATAATGATACTAACAACGGGTCCACAATCCCACGGTTATTGATCTGTAAATTAAAATACGATAACATTGGGTAATTTTTAAATATTATTACTTAATAATATATATAATTAATGTGTGTGTATGTATATATACCTGATGCTTGTACCATGGTATAAAATGAGAGTCCACCAATGCATCAATTTCATTGTCAGGGAATGTTGAGTACTCCGCTCTAAATTCAATGTGAAGTCAAACATGAAAATATTATAAATCAACTACCTTAATTGTATATATATTACAAAGATAACTACAAATTTAACTTACTGATAAAACGGTAAGATTTCTGGACAATTAATGAGCATATAAGTATGCACAATTTGTAATTCTTTTCCCACGATGTATCGGTTTGTCCAAGCTCCTTTACCTCTACCTGTGTAATTGAAAATGGAAACTACATTTTCATATAAATCCTCGCCAATGTCATCGTTTCGGGCAACTCTCTTTTTTCTAGTGATGACTTCACGCTCAAAATAAAAAGATGAGAACGTTGAGATTTCTTGTTGAAGATATGCTTGACAAATTGAAGCCTCAACGTGTGCCTTGTTGGTCACTTTCTTTTTCAACTCTCCAAGAAATCTGCAAAGTAAAATAAAAGTGGTACACAGATTAATGTTGTTATGAAATAAATATTCATAGATAAATGAAATTGTGACTAACCTTTCGAATCTGTACATCCAGCGATAGAAGACGGGTCCACCATTTAAAGCCTCATACGGAAGATGTATTACAAGATGTTCCATTCCATCGAAAAATGATGGAGGCATTATCTTTTCCAAATTACACATCAGCATGGGAACAGACTCTTCTAGTCTACGGAGGGATGCTGCATCCAAAATGCTTAAGCATATCGACTGAAACAACAAACTGATCTCAGTAATGCAGGACCATACGTGTTCAGGAAGCATCTGTTTCAGTGCAATTGGGAGAAGTCTTTGCATGATTACATGACAATCGTGAGTTTTCATGCTCGACGTCATTGCAAGTTTGTCCATGTCCACGCATCTGGACAAGTTGCAGCAGTAGCCATCTGGAAACTTCAGAGACACAAGCCATTGTAATATTGATTCTTTTTCTGCTTGTGTGACTTGGTAGACTGCTTTTGGAATATTGTTGCCCTGATATTCTAGATCAACAGATAGTTCGAGCCTATCACACCAAATAGTCATATCTTTTCGAGATGCAAGACCGTATTTAGTTTTGCCTTTGAAATCCATCACTGTGTTAAATATATTGTCAAACACGTTCTTCTCAGTGTGCATGACATCTATATTGTGACGAATGAGAAGGTCTTTCCAATATGGTAACTCCCAAAAGATACTCCTCTTTGTCCACTTATGGGTATCACAAAACCCATATGGCTTCTTATTTGGTTCTTGCATAACCGTAGGAATACGTCGAACCCGGTTAAAAATTGCTTCCCCGGTCAATCTCGGGGGCGGGGTGTCTCGTACCACTCTACCTCTAGTGAAAGACTTTTTGTCCTTTCGATATCGGTGGTTTTCCGGGAGAAACTTGCGGTGACAATCAAAGTAGCTTGGTTTTTTACTGAAAGTTAGCCAATTGGCACCTGATTTCTCCAAGCATATCGGACATCCCATAAGACCATGTGTGCTCCATCCCGAAAGCATGCCATAGGAAGGGAAGTCGCTAATGGTCCAAATGATGGCAGCTTTCATTATGAAATTTTGATCCCTTGAAACATCATATGTTGGTGTCGCAATGGCCCAAAGTTCTTTCATCTCCTCGATAAGGGGTTGGAGATAAATGTCTATTTTTTTCCCTGGATCATTGGGACCCGGACAGATTAGAGTCAAAAAGATAAAGTGACTTTTCATGCACATGTCGGGAGGGAGATTGTAAGGAGTTAACATGACCATCCAACATGAATAGTTCTTCCCAAACCTTCCAAATGGAGCAAATCCGTCTGAACACAATCCCAGTCGCACATTTCGTGGCTCCATTGCAAACTGAGGATGACAACGGTCAAAGTGTCTCTAAGCTTCACAGTCCGAAGGGTGAGACATCATACCCTCTTTTGTTTCATGCTCAACATGTCATGTCATGTGTTTCGCAGTAGCAGTCGAAGCGTACATCCTCTGAAGTCGTGGAGCTATTGGGAGGTAATACAGTTTAGACAATGCCGACCTATTTCGTGGTTTCTTTCTACTTTGAGGAACAGGTTTGTATCTGTTTCCACCACAGAACTTGCAGAATTCAAGTGTCTCATCATCCTTCCAGAACAACATACATCCTTCCGGGCACACATCAATTTCTATATAAGGTAGCCCCAACTTAGACATTAATTGTTTCATGTGATAATATGAATCCGGAAGGTTATGATCACGTGGTAGCATCCCACCTACTGACTGCAAGACTCTAGTCATGCAAGTTTCAGGGAGACTGTATTCAGCTTTTATGTTCATAAACTCTGTAACGGCGGATAGCTGAGAGTATCCCTCACAATCAGCATACAGGGGTTGATCAGCTGCTTTTAAAACATCTTGAAATCTTTCAGCTAAACCTTCATCCACATAAGGTTCATAAAATATCGGATTTTCATCCTCATGTGGTTGATACGAGGTCGAAGCTTCAGGAGGATCGTTAGATGGTTGTGGGGGGTTGAACTGAGACATCGATGCACCGTATGCGTCATATACCATACGTTGCTCCCATCTCATTTCAGCAGGGTCTCCCCACGCACTCATCTTTGCAGGGACGTTACGAGACGAACCTACCGTTTGTGGTAAAACAGATGGATCCAAAGGTTCGCCATGAGAAGTCCAATTATAATAATTGGGAAGTAAACCGTCCGCGTACCAATCCCACCCAACTTCGTCTGGGTGTTTAAATTTGAGATTTTTACACTTTGAACATGGACATCTGATTTTATCACCACTCATATAAGCCGGGTGTTCAAGTGCGAATTTAATAAACTCCTCAACTCCTTCAAGAAAATTTGATTGCATTCCGTACAATACCGCATGTTTATCATTCATCCAAATTCTATTTTGTCTATACATTATGCCTGAATATTATAATAAAAAAATTATACAGGTTAAAAACTCTAAATTATAAACATTACCAACATATGTGGAGTATTATTAATATATTAAATTTCACTAAATTTCACTAAAATTCTCTTTAAATTAACTAATTCCCTAAAATTAACTAATTCCCTTAAATTTCACTAAAATTCACTAAAATTCCCTTAAAATTAACTAATTCCCTAAAATTAACTAATTCCCTAAAATTAACTAATTCCCTAAAATTAACTAATTCCCTTAAATTTCACTAAATTTCACTAAAATTTCCTTAAAATTAACTAATTCCCTAAAATTCCCTTAAAATTAATTAATTCCCTTAAAATTAACTAATTTCCTTAAATTTCACTAAAATTCCCTTAAAATTAACTAATTCCCTAAAATTCCCTTAAAATCAACTAATTCCCTTAAAATTAACTAGTTTCCTTAAATTTCACTAAAATTCACTAAAATTCACTTAAAATTAACTAATTCCCTAAAATTCCCTTAAAATTAACAAGTTTCCTTAAATTTCACAAAAATTCACTAAAATTCACTTAAAATTAACTAATTCCCTAAAATTCCCTTAAAATTAACTAGTTTCCTTAAATTTCACTAAAATTCACTAAAATTCACTTAAAATTAACTTATTCCCTAAAATTCCCTTAAAATTAACTAATTCCCTTAAAATTAACTAATTGCCTAAAATTTCACTAAATTTCACTAAAATTCACTAAAATTCCCTTAAAATTAACTAACGTCCAATAATTAATATTATTAAACTATAAACATGCACAATACGTTAATGGCATTAATTTAATCCACAATACTAAAATTATCAACATCTTAATCTTATTAATAATGCACATTTAACAATTTACTAAATTAAATAATATGAGCAAATCCAATAATTTGAGCATATATATATATAATAAACACATTTAAATTAAATTAACTAACCCTAATTTAAATCATTATGAATCCTAAATTAGGCCGCCTTAATTAACAATAATTGCCAATATAAAGAAATCATATACTTATATTTAATCATATATATATATATAAAGTCATTTGAATTAAATAATACTTACATTTAACTAATATTAATAATATGCATTTAAATTATATTTAATCATATATACTTACATATGTATTTAACTAATTTACGTAATTTTAACCCTATATTTTAAAATTAATAACATATGTATTGCCAATATTATATTTAATAATATACTTTCATATATATGTATTTAACTAATTTACATATTTAACTAATTTACGTAATTTTAATTAATTAAATACAACTTAATTAACCCAATATGTTTAAATTACACCTACGTTTAACGTAACTAAATTTAAGGAATTTATTTCGTTAATTAATTAAGTCTTAATTTAACTAATGTAGTAGCTAAAATGAACCAACTAATTCATACAAAAAATACGTAATTCAAATTACATACCTTATCTGCATAAACAGGAAAAATGATATGAGATGGGTAGATTACATCCTTCAATTCTATCTGGAATTCTATCTGGAGTAGATGGTGTGATTTTGTTGAATGAATCGGAGGCTGAATATATAAAACTTATAGTCACGGACGTAGTCACGGATGTGTCCGTGACTACACTTTTTTGGTACGATTTGTCAGAGCACTTTAAATTTGGAACGTTGAAAAAATCAATCTTGCACTTGTCACGGAATTAGTCACGAACGTATCCGTGACTAACTGTAGTCACGACACTAGTCACGAAACCATCCGTGACTAATTTCAAATTTAAAAAAAATCCCGCCGGAGGCGAAATTGGGTTGGCCGGAACACTTTAGTCACAGACTACATCCGTGACTAACTATAGTAACGGACGTAGTCACGGCCAAATCCGTGACTATTTTTTTTTAAACGTTCCGTGACTAAACTGTGATTAACCGTGACTAACTAGTCACGGACCAAATCCGTGACTACGGTCCGTGACTACAAGCGATTTTTTTTTAGTGAATTAAAAAACCTAACTTTTTTAAAATATCAATGCCTATACCAAATTATTTTTTATAACTGTTTTACACATATGACACACTTGACACATGTATAACACAAGTTTCTATTTGCTTATTTATAGAATATGTGCACTTCCTATTTAAAAATGGAGAAAAGGGTCAAATAAGGTCTTCTACTATTATGAAATGGCCACATAAGGCAATGTACTCAATAAAGTGTCATGTGAGTACCTCTACTTGTAAAAAGCAATCAAATGAGTCATAATGACCTATTTAACACCTCTTAATCCTGGTTTCAATGTACTTCTAACCATCTTTTTAGAATACATTATACGGCATGTGTCGAATATTTAACTAAGATTGGTTGAAATAAAGTCAAAATATCGACATGTAAGCTAAAAACGGGATTAAGAGGTGTTAAATACGCCGCTAGGACTCATTTGATTGCTTTATACAAGTAGAGGTACTTATATGACACTTTATTGAGTACATGGCCTTATGTGACTATTTCATAATAGTAGAAGGCCTTATTTGACCCTTTTCTCTTAAAAATGATTTGCTATAAGTTTATAACATGTTATTATTGGTCGTGAACCATTATTAACGAACAAATTATAAAATTAAGCTTTTATAAAAATGATGGATTAATGAGATTGTTATTTTTTGGTTTTTATTTCGTTATGTATTAACTTGAAACCATGATTTTTTGGACTATGAAAAAGGGGTTTTGAAAATTGACGGTACTATCGTCGTTGTGTGCCTCAAAAT